ACCTTGGCCTCCAGTTCTTTTTGTTTCATCTTAAGCCTCTGTTGGAAAGGATCAGGGAGAGTTGTGACCCAGACCCAACTGCAGGGCAGCTTGAAAGGCAGTAGATTAGCAGGGTGAGTATGCAGGGCTAGGACCAATGGGAGAAGCTACCAGGAGACAGGTAGACCCAATGTAATTAAGGGCTTTCTAATGATTGGGGGAGGAGGAGGGTGGGGGGAGCGGAGCACACTGCGCGCGGGGAGGGCGGGCGGGGGGCGCGAGGACACACAAGAGGCTGGAGCGGGCGCGAGCGCGAGCGCGCGCGAGGCCAGCGGGAGGGGGAGGTACGAGAGGGACTCCAGCGGGAGGAGGGACGGGGGAGCCACCCAGCAGCCCGAGTCGCCCCAAGCGCGAGACCCCTGAGACGACTGCTGATTGGCTGACGACGGTGCAGGTGGTGGGCGCGCGGGAGACAGGGCGGCTTCTCTCCTCTTTCCCCCTTCAACGATTCCACCCCCCTCCTCCCTCCGCCAGCGGCCGTTATTTCGCGCGCACGCGCACAATACCGCTGTCGTTGCTGAGCGGGAGAATAGGAGAGCGCGCGCGGGGGTACGGATGGGGCGGGGCTAATCCCTGAGCGCGCGCCCGCCTAACGGTCGTCGTCCTCGGGCTTGGGTTTGAGCTTTTTGCTTCCTTTCGGCCACCGTCTTTTCCCTTCCCAATTCCAGCGGTTTATTTACAATCCGGCGCTGGTTCACAGCCTCCCCAAGATGGCGCCCAAAGAGGTTGGCCGGCGGAGCTCGTGGCCCACCCCAAGGGCGATTATACCCCGGCCCCGCCCCGCAGTCCCAAAAACCAGACTGAAACACCGGAGTAAAAACTCTATTTACACAATACGCGGCTATACAAGGATTAAGAAAAAAACAAAATGCAGGAAACGGCAGTCAGGAGGGGCCACAGCGCTGGCCAGCGGCGAGACCCAGGATGTTCGCCTGCAACACAGAAGGGAAGGGGAGAGCAACGTTAGAGCTGGGCACAGGCCAGGCAGCGAAGGGGTCACAGCCAGGACCTTACCTTCAGGAATGACTCCATCTGTTTCCCGGTTATGCCCTCCACGAGTTCCAGGTCCTCCACCTGGCAGAGCAGCAGCAGTGGAGAAAGAAAGGGTGTTTAGGGAGTGCCAGGTCTCCCCCCACCCCACTCCACGGCTGCCCTTCCCTGTTACCTGGCTGAAGGGGCCGTGGAGCTCCCTCCAGCCCACGATGAGCTGGGCCTTCTTCGGGCCAATGCGTTGTAGGCTGCGCAGATCCCGGGCTGAGCCTTCATTCAGCAGATCCAGTATTTTTTGGCGCCCACGGGCCAGTAGCTCTGGGCTGATCTGTAGCTCCCAGCAGTCCTCAGCCCTCACCTCAGGCTCTGAGGCATCCAGGGACTCCAGCTACGAGGCAAGGGAAGGTAAGTGACAGAAACAGCAGCAAAGTGCTTTGGACTCCTCTGCCAAGACTAGAAACCTAGCACCAGCTACCTCCCTGCTCACTCCAGCCTCTTTCCTACCAAGTATCCGCCCAAAAATCCTCCCCTCTGGGCTAATGCTAATTATATGCAACTTGTGAGAGTTAAATCACGCCTGTAATCCTAGCTCTCTGGGAGGCCGAGGCGGGCGGACTGTTTGACCTCAGGAGTTCAAAACCAGCCTGAGCAAGAGTGAGACCCCGTCTCTACTAAAAATAGAAAGAAATTATCTGGACAACTAAAAAAACACATATATAGAGAAAATTAGCCGGGCATGGTGGCGCATGCCTGTAGTCCCAGCTACTCAGGAGGCCGAGGCAGGAGGATCACTTGAGCCCAGGAGTTTGAGGTTGCTGTGAGCTAGGATGACGCCACGGCACTCTAGCCCGGGCAACACAGTGAGACTCTGTCTCAAAAAAAAAAAAAAAAAATACTAGGACCTAGTGGTAATACTAATTCCTTTCTCAGAGTTACTGTGAAGATCATATTAATAAGTGTAAAGGACACTTTTAAATCTGGTACCTCATCTCTAAAAAAGGAAAGAATAAGCTCTCCTTCACTGCTGGGAAAGTACATGGGAGAAGGCAATGAATGACCCCCCTCCCGCCCCCCCGCCCCAGTTTTTGGGTAGTTCTAGTTGTGTTTCATTTTCGGCAGGGGGTGTGTGTGTGAGAGAGAGAGAGAGGGGAGAGAGGCAGGGAGGGAAGGAGGGAGGGAGAGAGAGAGATTGATTGATTCTTGTGTGCTTCAGTCATATTTCCGTAAGTTTTCCCTCCTAAGTTTGTAGAGGGCAGGAGCCAGGCTACACACTACCTAATAAGTAGCAACTGAGTGCAGGAGCCATCAGGAAGAAAGGAAAGTAACAGGTGGTGGACACCCACTTTGCTAGGAACATCCTTATCATTCCTTTTACCCTAAATGCCCTGCGAAGGTACCATCACTGCATGGGGGGGCGGGGGGGGGGCGGGGAAGCAAGTTGAAAGACTTGTGCTAGGTGTAGCCTAAGCCTCCAGCTACTCTCTCACCTTTCTCTTCCGGCCTTTATTCTTCAGGATATGAATCTCAGTATTTGGGGATGCTGCCTGCTCCTGAACTGAAAGTAGGAATTGAGAATTGCAGTCAGGACAGAGAGGCCACTTTTCACCCTCCCTGGTAGCCATTTGGTTCTCCCATTTCTGATTCCCCAGCTCCCCTGCACTCTGAGTTAACCTTTTGTGTTTCCACATGCCCTTTTTTATACCTATATTTGAAAGTAATCTCAGTTGGTTTTGCATTAAAATCAATCACATACTTGTCTGTCTGTGCCCTGCATTCATTGTTCTAAAAGCCGAGGCAGAGCACCCAACGCACCCAATGCTGCCTCAGATCCTCCCCACCCTCCCTGGGACTGGCATATGGTGGGAGAACACAAGTGATGTGAGGACAGCTGCTAACACTTCCTCCCTTATGGGAACTCAGTTATCTGGGCCCTCCTGGCCCCTGAAGCCAAACTCACTCAGTTGTAGGGGCATCACCACCGCCTTTTTCAGGGGTTTTGCCACTGTAACTGTGCGATGGGAAAGGGGTCGGAGCATTGTGGGAGAGCAATTCTCTTTCTCCTTTGGGTCCGCAACTTCCTGGGCCAGCACCTTGGCCTCCAGTTCTTTTTGTTTCATCTTAAGCCTCTGTTGGAAAGGATCAGGGAGAGTTGTGACCCAGACCCAACTGCAGGGCAGCTTGAAAGGCAGTAGATTAGCAGGGTGAGTATGCAGGGCTAGGACCAATGGGAGAAGCTACTAGGAGACAGGTAGACCCAATGTAATTAAGGGCTTTCTAATGATTGGGGGATTGCCCAGAGGTGGAACAAGCTTCTTTGGAAATACTGAAGGGAAAGATTGTTCAAACAGAATCCTCACTTAATGTGGGCTGGGTTTTAGGAAATGCAATGTCTAACATTTGTTCCTTTTACTTGGGATATTTTCCTTCTCACCTCCTCACATCTGATCACAATTATTTTTCTAAGTTTAGCTATGTTAAGGACATTGAAGCAGAAGCTGGGGAACTTTCAGAGTTGGGTGAAAACTGAACCCAACTCTGGACACAGCCTTTGAGTGTCTTTCCCTGTCTGAGGATCCTAGGATTGCTTCTCAAAGCCAGTAGGAATCCCAGCTACCACCTCCCACTCCTCCCCCACAACCAACACTTAACCTCAATCTCCAAGTCCTTCTCCTCCACTGTCTTCATGAGCACCATCCGCTCTCGCCTTGGGGTACTCAGCAGAGGGGCCCCCTGACTCCCTTGGGAGCCCAGCAGACGGTCCAAGTTTAGGAGGCGCTCCAGCATGGCTGGGTCCATGCTGCTTAGCTTCTGCAGGGGACTGAGTAGACAAAGAGGTTACTCCCCACCTACCTCCTCTCTCATCACATTCTATACAGCAGGGTTCCCCTCATTATGCCTTAACTTGGTATATCCTATGGTTCCAGAACCCTGATGTTAACTTGCTAGGCAACTCTAAACAAGTCATTTAGCCTCTCTGGGTGCAGTGTCTTCATCAGGTGAAGTAACCTCTCAGGGATGCCAGGAAATCAGACGAGAACAAGCATTTAATGAACACCTGAGTGCCAGGTATCAGGGATTTAAGACATTGCCCTGCTGTGGAAGCATTCACTGTCTAATAAGGGAAGTAAGAGACCATAAGGTGACAGCAAGGGCTGAGTGCCTATCCATTTGGAGGAGCAGTTGGGGAAAACTTCACAGAGGAAGTCATCTTCAGCAGGGATTTGAAAGCCACTGAAGACCTCAACTGCCAAGCCTTTATCCTGCAAGCAGTAGGAAAGGCTTGTTCAAGCACAGTCCTGACTTAATCTGAGCATGGTAATGTCTAACATTCATTCCTTTCACCTAGAATATTTTCCCCCTCACCTCCTTACATCTGATCTCAATTATCTTTCCTATGATGCCTGGCTTGATCACGGACCTTCTTTCCTCCACTGGAAACTAGCTCTTTGAGGACAGGAACTGTCCTGTTCTTTATGTACAACTGCCTCGAAGAGCAGGATCAGAAAATATGTAGACTAGAAATCATTTCTTCCCAGTTGGCTCTCACAGAATAAGCAGCTACTCCCTCCCTTATTCTGGGTATTATATACTTGGCATCATATACTGATGTCTTCACCTAACTTCCTCTCCTGAAGTGAGCCGCACAATGTCAGGGTCTGTCTAGGTCTGGTGAAGCTCCAGCTCCAAGCTTCCCCTTACTCAGAGTGCCTATTTGGCAGAGAGCTTGCGTTAAGTTTCTCTGAGTTTGTGCACATAGGAGGGGACTGCTGACAGACAGCATGGGAAAAACAAGACAGAGATGGAGTCATGAGTGAGCAAGCATCTTTCTGTGTGTGGCATCTTCCTGAACAATAGTCCCCTGGGGCGGAGTGTATACTAGTCCTTGGCTTCCTCAGATCACCTCTGTTCAGTAGTTTTAGGACCTACACAGTTTAGAGGTTTTATTAGGTCTAGGGGGTAGGAACAGGGCAAAATTAAAACTACATCTGGCTCCTTAGAGTTGAAGAGGGGAGGGGAGTCAAGTGGCCAGACACAGAAAACAAATCCACCGAACAGAGGCAACCTGAGAATTAGTACATACTGGGCCACGAGGTGGTGCCATCAGAGTTGGGGCAGGAGGTACGCACACAAGGGACTTGGTTTAGAGGCTTTGTCTGGATTGAGGGTAGAAGCAGAGCAAAATAAGGACAGCAACCAGCTCCTTGGAGAGTCATAGAGAGGCTGGGCCCTGACACAGATGGAGAGGTCTCAGTGAGATGTCTCTCTTTGTCTCTTCCATATCTCCTTTGCTTTGCTCTCATCCTCTGGACCTGAAAGATCTGATCCAGATTATTCCTTGCTCGTCCTTGATATAACTGCCCCCAAATTTGAAGGTTTGCTGATGGCTTAAAGGGATTGGAAAATGGAAAGGGAGGGGTTGGCTAGGAGCCATGGCAGCAGCACTGAGGATACACTGATTTTGGCACTTCAGTGAATTCAACAGAGTAGGATTTTGGGTGAATTCACTGGGAGAGGAACAAGTTCACAGCTTCTCTGCTTAAGGACCTGACAGGCTAACTGCATCGCAGCTCCACAGCTAAGCCAGACACAATAGGAAGGGGATATACCCAAGGCCCCATTGCTCACCTGAGTTTCTGGGAGGCAGAGGCTGGGGATGCTGTGGGCTCAGGGCTTCCAATTTCCACTTCCTCAGGGCCTCGAGCTCTCTTCGCCTCTGATGGGCCTAGCAGTTCTTTCTGAGACAGCTTAACAGGTGCCAAGACTAGAAGAAGATTGGGGGTGAGTGGAGAGGGATGGGAGGTGGTCAGCTTCTGTGCATATGCTTGGTGGCTTAGCAAACCTAATTTCCAGACCCAGCCTTTCCACGCCTGCCTCCCCGAGTCCTCACCATGAAGCTGTAGGCTCTCATTGGTAAAAGGCCGGTTTATCACCTCTTTGGACCTGGCAGCAAAGTTGAGTGCAGAGACTGTGTCTAGGTAGAAGCGTCTCTCAGGGGCAATGTTGGCAATGAGGATGCTGTGGGCTGAGCCACCCAGAGAGTCCTGAGGGATGGGGGCCAGGCAGAGTGGATGAGTGAGAAGCCCAGCCTGTTCCCTGACTGCTATTCCCCAACCGGCCTGAGACCCTCCTTCTCTAGCTTCTGTTGCCCTGACCTGCAATAGGCGAGTGAGCTTGCTGTCCCGGTAAGGCACACGAGGGAGGCCCTGGTTCAGTGCATCTACCACCTTGCCCAATACAAAGAGGGAGGTGTTGATGGCTCCACTCTCTTTCAGTCGAAGGCCCTTGTTGCCTGTGCGCCGGTTGTCCTCTGAGCCAGCCAAGTCAATCAAGTAGAGTTTCCCCTCCCGCTGGCGAAATGGGGCCAAACGTTCCCGCTGGTCCACCTGGGGGTGAGAACAAAAGTGCCAGGCTTAGTTAGCTTAGGCTCCAGGGGTTTCCCAGGTCCTCACCCCCATCAGTGGGCCTTACCTTGACCAGGAGCACAGCATGACTGCGAGAAGAGCGCTGGTTGAGCCGGGTGGCTCCTACAGTCCGGTTTCGGCTGGCTGGTAGGAAGTGCCGCTCAAAATCAGCAAAGCTAGTTATGGGCTTCTGTGTGAGGCCAGGTATCAGGATGTTTCCCCGACAGTCTTCTCGGATCACCAGGTCTCCTGATGCAGGGTCTAAGAGGTCTAATACCTGTTTGAGCAGGGAGAGGTAAGGCCAATTCTCCATACGTAGGCTGCTTGCTTCCTGGGGGATCGGTCTGCTTTTCTCTGCTGGATTCCGAGTTGTACCATCTGCTACCCCAATCTCTGTCTTTCCAGGTCTCACCTCCTTGCTAGAGCAGAGCTTTATGTTCTAGATCTAGGTCTTACTTAGACCCTTTGTTTCTTCCCTCCCAACCAGAATGGGGCCTTACCTTTTCCTGGTAGATCTCTAAGTAGGACATAGTAACAGAGAGGGCCCATGGCCGGCCCTCAGCTCCCTCCTCCCTTGTGAGCTGTAGGAGGTCCATGAGAGCCCGCGGAATCACTCCAGGTTGCTCTGGGCTTCCAAGCATTGTGTGAGTCTTCCCTGGGGAAAGAGTAGAGAAAGCTTTGAGAGTTTCCTCTCCATTTCTAGCCTTTTCTGACCCATAGCTATTCCCTATCTGGCTCCCTCACCTGCTCCTGTGGGCCCATAGGCAAGCACACTGGCATTCTGTCCTTCTAGCAAGTGCCTTAGGATGGGCTGCACTGAACCTGCATAGATGTCCTGCTGAGTGCTCCTCTCCCCATAGAAGGCATCAAACCTATGGGCAGGAAGAAAGGAGGAAATTTGCATGTATATGTTGGGGGGTGGGGAGGGATTTTCATCCAGACCTTAGATTTAAAAGAAAGTCCCTATCCCTTTTCTTACACAAAGATCTTAAAAAGCATCCACTGAACACCTACTCTGTCCCAGTCTCTGTGTTGGTGGTAGGAATACGAAGATGAATCTGATGTCTCGGGTCTTGGGAGTTTTGCAATCTGGTGGGTTAGTTACCCATACTTTGCTGTGATTTAGGAAACAAAGATGAGGACACACTAGAAGGAAGAACTGATTTTGCTCAAGGAAGGAGGTTTTTGACAGAAAGAAGGGAAAGAAAGAAACTCTAAGTATCAAGAATAGCACATAGGCCGGGCGCGGTGGCTCACGCCTGTAATCCTAGCTCTCTGGGAGGCCAAGGCGGGCAGATTGTTTGAGCTCAGGAGTTCGAAACCAGCCTGAGCAAGAGCGAGACCCCGTCTCTACTAAAATTAGAAAAAAATTAATTGGACAACTAAAAATATATAGAAAAAATTAGCTGGGCATGGTGGCGCATGCTTGTAGTCCCAGCTACTTGGGAGGCTGAGGCAGGAGGATCGCTTGAGCCCAGGAGTTTGAGGTTGCTGTGAGCTAGGATGACGCCATGGCACTCTAGCCCAGGCAACACAGTGAGACTCTGTCTCAAAAAAAAAAAAAAAAAAAAAAAAGAATAGCACATAGAAAAGACAAGATGTGAAAGAGCGGCGCTTCCCAATCTTTTTCACATGGCAACATGTATAGAACACTGTATTTATACACCATAATGGGAAAAACAGAGGATGCTGCTTAGGACTGGAGTAGACGCAACATACCTGTAGTCTATTCACTGCACTCTGAGGGAGAAGCTATGGCTTAAGCCATACCAGAGAGTTTAGTACATGTTGAAGGGGATGAGGCTGGAAAGAAACTGAAGCCAAATTGTCAAGGGCCTGGATTGGGAGTCAGCAAACATTTTGTAAAGAGCGAGATAGTAAATATTTTAGGTTTTGTGGGTCATATGCTTCCTTTTTACAACTACTCAGCTCTGCCATTGCAATTAGAAAGCAGTTATAGACAATATATATAAATAAATGATAAAATTTTATTTATTAATACTAAAAGATTCCTAGTCAGAGTTAAACTGTAGTCCCTGGTTTGCCACCCCTTGGCCTAGAGTAACAGGCTAGAGAATTTGAACTTTAAATTCTCAATGGGATTTTAAAGTAGCTGTCCTTGTGAGTTCTGTCCCCAAATCCTGGTGGTCTTCTGACACTACCCAGCTGCAGCCTGGGTTGGCTGGCTGGTCTATGTTCCTCTAACCCTTACCATATGGCCACCCCGCCCCAGGCCAGACCCTACTTGGGGATCCCCTGCTCACCTTTGCCACTTCTTCCTCCCTTTGGGCCTGTTTCCCCCACAAGACTGTGAACAGTGATGTGTGTCTGATTCAGCCTCCAGTCTTTCCCTACAGTATCCTAGAAAGGACCCGTCACAGGGGGCACCCATGAACATTTCCTGAATGAACAAATGACGGTGTGGGGAACAAAGTGGTACTGAGGAGGGAGCAAGGATCCTGGAGAGGCAGGTCTGAGAAACTCTCTGGGGAAGTGATAATGTGAGCAGGCCTAGGAGAGAGAGGTGATGGCATGAGAGAAGAGTGGCCTGAATCTTACTGGTATTTGAGAGTCTCCTGGTGGTTTCTCCAGTTGGCAATCTCTAGAGAGCAGCTGTCCATGCCCCGTACACAGGGGGGATCACTTGCTCCAGCTGTTCCATCCACAAATGGCCGCAGTCGCACAGCCACCCTTACTCGAGCTGGAGGTGGGCGCCTTCCAGCCCCTACCTTGCTTAGCCGACAGCGACCAGCTCCTGGAGAGAAGATAACTCTTAGGCATGAAGTATCGTGGTAGCAGAGGAAGTGGAGACCAACTTTGCTGGAAGGGCCAGGGGCCACAGCTCACTTTAGGGACGTTCTTTCCGCCCTCTTAGTCCTGTGGGCACCCTCAAGCTTGGCCCCAGTTCTTTCTCTGCTCTGTAAGTAGGTTCAGTGGCATGTAGAGCAGGCTTCTCAAGACTGCGGTGTATACACAAATAACCTGAAAAATCTTGTTAAAATGTAGATTCAGCTTCAGTCCCTGGGGAGATGCCTGAGATTTTTAGATTTCTAACAAGCTCCCTTGTGCTCCTGCTGCTGCTGGAACAGGTTTGAAATTGCCAAGGTTTAAGTAGACCAGCACCTCATACAGTTGTTCTAAGGATTAAAAGAGTGATATTTGACCTTATCTAAAACCAGACAATGAACTGCCTGACTTCTGTGCCTCTTATTTCTTACCTGGGATTTATAATACATATTTAGGTGTATGTACCTATTCCCCCCACCAACTGTTAACAATGGTTTTCTCTTGATGGGGGATTATGTGACTTTATTTTCTATGTTATCCAGTTCTGCAATGCTGTAATATTTGCATTTTTAAAAAATAACACTATGGACATCTTTGTTTGGAAGGGATCAGGTTGAGGAGTAGCCTCAAGCCCCTTCTGTCCCAAGTCAGTCTGCAAAAAGCACTGACATGTAATTCTTTTCTTGTAAGTTTTCCTCTTAGTTTGCCTCTGATGATTAAACCTAAGTCATTTGAAAAAAGTATGAATAATTTTTATTATCAGAAAATATGATGAAGATAAAACTTTAAAAAGCCTTTTTGAGGATTAAATGAACAAAATAATCTTATGAGGAGGATAGCATACTGTTGTAGCTCTCAGCTAATAGCAGAATTCAAACCTAAATCTCTTCCCCTCCAAAAATTTGCTTTTAATGATGATGCCATATTGCCTCTCTATTATGTACCAACTGGGAAAACGCTTGGCTCCTCCTTGTTGGTGGTAGCAGCTGGTGGCTGGGAGCCATAGGCCTCACAGAAGACAAAAGGCTGGTTGGTATATGCTGCCAATACAGAAACAGCAAGACAAAAATGCAGACAGATCTCCCCTGGAAAGAATCTTACAGGTAAGTAAGGCATGCCCATAAGCAGATGGCCAGTTTCAAAAACTGAGCCTCTCTTCCTTCACCTGATAAGTGGGGCTAGTAACACCATTTTTCACTTACTGGTTTACAAAGCACTTGGACATCTAGTTCTCATTTGCTCCCCCTGGCAATCCTGAAAGTCAGGAGCAAGCAGGCAAAAACCTGCAGATGCACGTGTGCAGATAGAAAACTGAGGTGCGGAGAGGTTCACTGATATGTGAAAAATGTGTGCAGGAGCTTTCTCTGCCTCGCTTTTTTTTTTGGAGAACAGAAAAAGCAGACATAGAAGCACTGAAGGAATCTCAGTGATCAGTATAAGGGAAAGAGGTAGGGGAAGTCTGTGATGAGGAATAGTGTAGATTCTGGTCAGACAGAACTGGATTTAAATTCCAGCTCTGGCATTTATTAGCTTATGGCCTTGGGCAAATGACTTAACATCCCTGTGCCTTGGTTTCTGGTCTTGAAAGGGCTTTATGAAGATTAAAAAAGGTAACAGCTAAAATGCCAGCATAGTGACATAGTAGGTAGTTTCATTATGCAAAATAAAATGGCCTGGGTTCAAATCCCAGCTCTGCCAGTTACAACTAATTAAATAACCTAGGGGGCAAAAGACACGAACAGAAGTTTTTCACAAGAAGATAGACAGATGGCCAACAAACATATGAAAAAATGGTCAACATCACCAATCATCAGGGAAATGCAAAATAAAACTACAATGAGATACCTACCACCTTACCCCTATCAGAATGCCATTATTAAAAGGTCAAAAAATATGTGCTGGCATGGATGCAGAGAGAAAGAACACTTATAACACTGTTGGTGGTACTGCAAATTAGTACAACCTCTATGGAAAACAGTATGGAGATTCCTCAAAGAAATAAATGTAGACCTACCATTCGGTCCACCAATTCCATTGCTGGGTATCTACCCAAAAGAAAAGAAGTTATAAAAAAGATGCCTGTGCTTGAATGTTTGCCGCAGAAAAAACCATAATTACAAAGATGTAGAATCAACCTAAATGCCCATCAATTTACGAGGAAAGAAAATGTGGTGTGTGTGTATGTATATATACACACCATGGAGTACCACTCAGCTATAAAAAGGACGAAATAACGTCATTTGCGGCAACTTGGACGGAACCGGAGACCATTATCTTAAGTATCTCAGGAGTGGAAAACCAAACACCATATGTTCTCACTAATAAGTGGAAGCTGCACAAAGTGATATAAAGGACATTGGAAACCAAGAAGGGGGGAGAGTGGAAGGGTGTTGAGGGCTAAAAACTTACCTTTTGGGTATAATGAACACTATTCTGGTGAGGGGCATAACAAAAACCCTGACATGAGCATTACACAAGGTATCCATTTAACAAAAACATTTGTACTCCCTTAATATTTTGAAATAAAGAAAAAAATAAGCTGGGGAGATGATTTTCCATCCCTGTGCCTCACTTTCCTTACCTGTAAAATGGGAATAAATAAAAAATATCTACTTGTTTGGTTGTTAGGGGAATAATGATAGGTAATTCAGGTAAAAGTGCTTAGAACAGTATTTGGTAAAAGCTCAGTGTCTTATATTCACCCCCCCCCCCATTTTTCAGATGAGGAAACCTCAGTATAGAGGGGTTAGCTGACTTGACCATGGTCAACAGCTACTTAGTGACAGAGCTTCAAATGAAGTCCTTTACATGAACCCCCAGGCCTCCTTAGCCCTTTCATCTTTGTATCCTCATGGGACTTGGAGTCAGAGACAAGTTCCACCGACTAGTTGTGACCTTGGGAAGGTCATTTAACCACTCCAAGCCTCAGTGGAGTCTCAAGCTTCTCTTTATAAAAATAACAGTATCTACCTTCATAAGAATGTGAGGATTCAAAGTAATAATGTACATACAATGTTTAGCACCATGCCGGGCACCAAGTGCTCAATGTTAGCTGTTTTTATCACACCCTTTCTCTTGCTACCCATTCCTCAACCCTTGCAACTTATTTCTGCCCTCACTATTCAGCTGGGTCACCAGTATTGCCAGGTCCAAAAAGCACACTAAGTCTCAACCCTATTTGACTAACCAGCAGTATTCAAGACTCTTGGTAGACACACTTTTCCCTTACTTTCCATGCCACTTACTTTCCTGGTTGTCTTACTGGTTCTCTGTTCACTCCTCCGTTCTGCCAGTCTTAAAGGCTTTTCCTAGGCTCCTTCTATCCTTCTCTAGACCAGGGTTTCTCAACTTCAGCACTATTGACATTTTGGGCTGGATAATTTTTTGGTGTGGGGCTGTCCTGTGAATTTAGGCTGTTAGCACATACCTACTAGATGCCCGTAGCATTACCCACACCCACTTCCCAAGTTGTAACAACCAAAAAAAGTCTCCAGACATCTCCAATGTCCAATGGGGGACAAAACTACCCCCAGTTGAGACCACTCAGATTTATTTCTTGGGCATGGTCACCTACCCTTTTGGCTTCAATTACCATCTTAAAGCTAATGACTCCTATTCCACACCTCCACAGCAGAGCTCTCTCCTGAAATGCAAATCCACACTAAGAGCAGCTGCCCTGACATCCTCTTAAAAGGTTCTCAGGTACCTCAAACTCCACCTGTCCTAAACTGAATCCTTCCTCTTCTCTCTGCAACCTCATCCTCCCCCTTTGCTCATGTAAATGAATGGCATCAACCCCAAAGGTGGGAGTCTTTAATTCCACCTTCTCTCTTACCTCTCACATCAGTTAATCATTAACATCTATCAATTCTATTAAATCTTTAAAAATATTTCTTGAACGAGTCCACTTCTCTTCATACCCACTGCACTACCTTTGTCCAAGATCATCATCATCTCAACAGCCTGTGTCCTTGCCTCCAGTCTCACTCCCCTCCAATCATTCTCTCCCCACTTCCTTCTTTGCATTGAAAGTTCTCAGCCATAATGAATATCCTTCAGTTTTTACAAAACATGCAGTTCTCTCACAACTCTGGGCCTTTGTATGGGCTATTCTCTCTCCCTGGAATATCTTCTTCACCTCTGCACCACCAGCCCCAAACTCCCCCCACCCCACAATTGAGGTGAACAATTAAATTTTAATTCCTCTTAAGAAAAAAATCACCTTACCTTGTAAGCATTACTACCCCACTCCCACTAAGGCTTTATCAGGTGCACCCACAGCTCTCTTTAGCTCCTCCATCCAAGCACTCATCACATCCTACTGTGATTGCATGTCCGTAGTCTTCTCCAGCTGACTTAACTCTGTAAGAACAAGCTTTACCCTGGCTCACCTTTCTATCCCCAATGCCTGGCATAGAGTAGGCCCTCAGGGATTATTTGCTGAACAAATTAAGATTTGCTGAATGAACTAACATAATCATTGGCTTGTTCATTTCCCATCTTCATCACAAAAGTGGCTCACTGCCATTCCTGCGCCAGAGCTCCAGTCCAGGGGAGGAAGGGAGGCATGCATACATAACTGCTTACAGTACCTATCTCTTTCAACACAAAAACAACCGTGGGGTTGGGCGAGGCTAGCACTTATTTCTAATTTTCCCCTCTCCCACAAGTCCCAAATTTCATTCAGCTTAACTCTTCTCCCTTTTATTGACGAAGAAATTAAGCCAAGAGAGCATCTTGACCTCTTTTTACATTATAAATAAGAAAACGCTGTTCTTTTCTTCCCAGCCAAAGCCTGGCAAACTTCTATCTAACCTTTGAAACCCACCTCAAATATCACTCCCTTAATGAAGTCCTCCCAGAATAGCCAAGGGTTTAATTCAGATTTCACACTCTCTATAGCACTTTATACTTATCTCTCATTGTGTTTCATCACATTACATCTGTTTATGTGACAATCTATTGAAACAGACTATAGGCTCCTCTAGGGAAGGGGCAATATTCACTCAAGCATTTTTATGATATCTACTGGTACGAGACACAGTGGGTCTTGGAAGGGTGAGGGGAGGTTGTGCATAGGAGGAATATAAAGTACTAGGGCATAATGAGTAGAGTCTAGAATCAGACTGCCTGAAAGCGAATTCAAGCCCCAGTACGTATTAGTTGTGTTAGCTTTAAGCAAGCTATTTAACCCATCTGTGCCTCAGCTTCCTCATGTGTAAAACAGAGACTATAATCGTAACCACCTCATAGCATTGTGTGGCTATTAAATGGTTCATCACCATAAAATGCTTACAACTGTGCTGGGCAAAGGCTCAAGAAATGTTAGGCATTCTCCTAAACGTCTATTTCCCCACAGGGCCTGACAAACACTAAAGGGCTCAAATCCCTGAGCAGAATTCAGTCTACAGGAGGAGAGGCACATGTAAACAAACACAAGATTTTGAGTGTCCTAACAGCCGTTCCAAACCTAAAATACCATTCACTTCCACGGCTAGAGTGAGAGGAAACAGTCCCTTATTTACCTTTTCTGTGATCTCAGCGCGTCTTATGCTATCAACTCACACCTAGCTGCAGCCCGGTCTGAACCTCAGCCTGCCCTCCTGCATGTCTCAGGGTCCTCTCCGCGCCCAAACACCACGTCACGCACAAAACCCTTCCCCTAAAACATGCACCCATCTCCATTCTTTTTATCCTTACAGTCAGAGCGTTAGCCACTTTTCTCTTGCTTTCTCAAATTATCCCAAGAGATGGGATCGCTGCCCCTATTTTACAGACAAAGAAACTGAGACTCGCAAAGGAAAAGTACGTAGGACTCAAACCAAATGCTTGGGCCCGGAGGCCCTGGAGTACTGACCCTAGCGGTGAGGAGGAAACAGGGAGAAGGAAAGAGCGAAGCGGGCTGACGAGCTTGCGACTCCCCTTCTCCCCGCCCCCGCGCCATTCTGGCCTCTCCCGGGCAACCCACGGAACCCAGACCAGACTCCGACGCATTACTCCACAGGCTCCAGATCACTGGTGCCCCGCCTCGCCCAGGCCAGGTTCGCGTACCTGAGGTCGCCGCGGCCGCCATCTCGCGTCGCCTCAGCTGCGCCTAGGCCCCGCGTCTATTCCAGTCCCTCCTTCGTCCCGCCTCTCCCATTCGAATTCCCTGGTGCCCCGCCCCGTCTCCTAGGCTTCACCAATCACGGCTAGCTGCCGCCGGAAGTCCCTGCTTGTAGCTCGCGACTACCCACCCTCTAGTGCTCGCCTCCGGGTTCCTCAAGAAAAAGTTTCCCCGGGCGAGGACGCATGCGCACACTTTGGCCGCGCAGCCAATAACGGCTGGGAACACGCTCGGGCGCAAACTACAGAGCCCTAGACGTTGGCGACGGTGGCGGTTGGGAGTGCTGCTGAGCGCCGTCCGGCGTCCGGCTCCTTTTACCATCAGGCTTTTGGGTTTGCAGGCGTAGATTTGCATTAAGTGGCGGCTTTTCAAAGGCACTTAATCGATTCATCCAAAAATTTTCCTGCTACTGAATATAATTTGTGCTATTTGAGTGGCAGAAGTGATTATATGGATAAGGGAGACGCTGCCTGGAAATGGTTTTATTCTAAACGACTGATAGTGATCTTCACTTTCTACAGATTCTTGCCTCAGGAGTCGTTTCGCGCGTCTTTGAAGCGGGGGTCGTTTTGTGGATTGTGGGACTTCATTGCCATTCAACGATGCTGTCGTGTCTGGTGGACCACGCTGGCTGGACTGTGGATGGTCACGTTACACTCCCCTCTTGCTGAGACCACGCCATTGTATGTCCCTTTGTGACGCATGTCTGAGCAGGGATGACCAGCTCAGATGTTCCTTACTTTATAACTTAGAACTCAGAACTCAACACATGTTGCTCCATGAATTAGTATTAAACGTGTTTTGGGACAGGATTTGTCTTAAGGGTTTTACAGAGTTTTGCCCTGAAAGAATATGTGAACGTGTTGGTTTGCATTTCGAATGCTGTTACACTCGGAAGGGCGTCTCTGAAAGGCAGTAGCGGCTGTATCCCACAGAGGCGCCGTGTTTCTCAGACCTAAAGAATTGGATTTGCTTTGTAAAGCACAAGTGAATCTGTTAAAAACTATAGGCTGAGAGCTGACAATGGAGTGCCCTCCGGAACAAACAGCTTCCCGGAAACGACAGCTTCTCAAATGGCCAAAAGCAAAGCTTTTGTTTAAACCACTCTAGACTACCTGTCTCCATTCACAATAACCTAATAAACATGGAGCTTACATATCGCTGTTTAACCCCTCTGTTTAAATGATAAACTTACCTTAGAATTTAGAAATTAACCTTTGAAAGACTTTGTAACCGTTTGCTCACGTAAATAGAATTAGTTAAAGAATCTGTAGAACCCTTCTGTAAAAGCCTTTTGAAAATCTGTTAACCTGAGAGGTACTACCTGTTGTTATGTAAATCTGTTACCCCTGACAATTGCTCACTATTTCCTATAAGTTACCATGTAAGACCTCATTTGGGGCTTTTGAGACCAACGGAGAGGTCTGAGCCCCCTGACCTCCCACTTTGCCTATAATCTTTATAAACTTATAAAACTATATCTTTGTCTTAGTGTATTCTTTTATTTCTTCCATTTTCCATTTTTCTCTATTATTTTCTCATCCCTTGCAACTCTACCAAAGGGACCCGGTTTTTTGCAGGGAACACTGGCCACGTTCCCCGCAAGCACATTGGGGTGAGCATTAAGAGCATGCTTGGTCTGTTGATAAGTCAACCACGGTTCTGGTTCCGAGTCCTTATAGGTTCAACGGTCTGTCAAGTAGTTCCTTGTCCTTTCTAGAAGCTTAGCCAGGAATGATCATTCCATCTTTGAGCTCCAGGTAGGTAGGGCTGTGGTTTAGACATTAATGTTCCACTCTATTGGAAAACAGATAACAAATCTTAGATCAGTGTTTCTCAAACTTTTTAGCCCTTGGGATTCCATTACAGTCTTAAAAATTGAGGGCCTTCAAAAGTCTTTTGTTTATATGAGTTTCTATCCATACTTACTGTGTTGCAACTTAAAACAAATTTTAAAAAATTAATGCATTTAAAAATTGCAGTAACAAACCCATGGAGATAAAATAGATTAGTGATTGCCAGGAGCAGGTGAGGAGTTGGGGAATTTGGACTACTGCTAATAGACACAGGTTTCTTTTGGGGGTAATGAAAAAGTTCTGGAATGAGACAGTAGTGATGGTTGTGCAACATAGTGAACATGCTAAACGTACTAAAGGCTAATGAAGTGTACACTTTTAAAAGTGGTAGATTTGGGCCCAGGCATGGTGGCTAATGCCTGTAATCCTAGCACTTTTGGAGGCCAAGGTGGGAGGATTGCTTGAGGCCAGGAGTTTGAGACCAGCCTGAGCAATATAGTGAGACCCCCATCTCTACAAAAGAATTTTTAAAAAATTAGCCAGGCGTGGTGGTGCACCAGTAGTCCCAGCTAATCTAGAGGCTGAGAAAGGAGGATCGCTTGAGGTTGACCACTACATATAACATAACTTTTTTTTATTTTTTTGAGACAAGAGTCTCACTCTGTTGCCTGGGCTAGAGTGCCGTGGTGTCAGCCTAGCTCACAGCAACCTCAAACTCCTGGTCTCAAGCAATCCTACTGCCTCAGCCTCCCGAGTAGCTGGGACTACAGGCATGCGCCACCATGCCCGGCTAATTTTTTCTACATATTTTTAGTTGTCCAGCTAATTTCTATATTTTTTAGTAGAGACGGGGTCTCACTCTTGCTCAGGCTGGTGTTGAACTCCTGAACTCAAATGATCTGCCCACCTTGGCCTCCCAGAGTACTAGGATTACAGGGGTGAGCCACCACGCCCGGTCCTGATTTACATTTTTGCAAATCTAATATCTGGCTTAAGAGAAAAATAAGTGGATTCTCATACCTGCTTCTGCATTCAGTTGTGGTGTCACACATCCAATAGTCTCTTGAAAACACCATATACTTGAGAAAAAATGCAAGGAAGGAAGTCAAGTGACAGTTTTATTAAGAACATAGTTTTGACCTTGCAGATCCTCTGAAAATGTCTCAGGGACCCCCAGAAGTCCGTGGACCACACTTTGAGGATCACTCACTTTGGCAATTGGCGGTTTGGTTTTCCTTGCCCTTCAGAAAGGGCTGTTCAGGTTTTCACATTTGTTGTCAATTCCCAGATATTTGATAAAATACCTGCCAGAAATAATGGAAAGAGCATAGATAAAGTAGCTAGGACTTCTAAGTTTGAATAAATAGCTTAGGTACAGGGTTTTGGTGCCAGGTGACCAGGTACCAAATTTAGCCTCTTTGTGCTAAAGAGGCTAAATTTCCTCGGATTTTTAGAAGGAAATAATGGCTGACTCAGCCTCCTAGGGTTGTTTTAAGGATCCGCATCTGCCTGGTAGAAATTAGGGTGGTTAAACACTTGATATTCAAAGAAAAAGAAACAGTTCATTATTTTAAAACTAACTTTCAAACTAGATCTTTAAGAAGCAAAAGAGAGCAGAGGAGAGTAGAACATAGAGTTTATGCCACAAAAATTAGACAGAGAATAGTGGGTGAGGCAGATATTTCTGTTCTTCAGGCCTGGAAGAACAAATGAGGGTCATCTGGGGTGAGAGGCATAGCAACAGTGATGGAGAAGACAATAGAGGACCCGGGGTGTCAGGTGGAGAAGAAGGAGTCCTCAGAGAGATAATGGAGCACCATGGGGGGCCAGGAAGCCATGCCAGTCTGCCCGATATGGAACCCTTTTCCTTCAGTTCATATGCTTTTATATAACAGCCACACTGGCCAGGGCCCAGGCACTACCAAAAGGGGCTCAGCTGGGGTCCCACTTAGCTGGGGGAACAGTCCACAGGCAACTGTCAATAGAAGGTCCTTTCCTGAAGTCACTGAGATCAGCTTTGGTGGCTGCTGTGCATGGGTTAATTCTGCAGTCCCTAACCCCCAGGCTGCACCAGTACCTATCTGTGGCCCGTTTGGAACTGGGCTGCACAGCAGGAGGTGGGCAGCAGGTGAGTGAGCCAAACCTTCGTCTGTATTTACAGCCGCTCCCCATCACTCCCATCACCACATAAGCTCCGCCTCCTGTCAGATCAGCTGCAGCATTAAATTCTTTATAGGAGCACGAAACCTACAGTTAACTACGCATGGAGGGATCTAGCCTGTGTGCTCCTCATGATCTGAGGTGGAGCTGAGGCGGTGATACTAGCACTAGGGAGTGGCTGCAAAAACAGATTCTCGTTAGCAGAGAGGTTTGCACAATAAATGTAATGCACTTGACTCGTCATGAAACCATCCCTACGCACCCATTTGTGGAAAAATTGTCTTCCATTATCTTTTTGGTCCCTGGTGCCAAAAAGGTTGGGGACCTCTGGGTTAATTGATGTGTTCATTGGAATGGGAAGGCTTGCTCCTCAGAAGAGAGAAAAGTATATTAATTAAAACTGTCAACTAAAGAAAAACTCAGGATTTTAAAGAATTAAAGTTAGTTTTATTCAGAATCTTACTGAGGATTGCAATCCAGGAGAGTCTTCTGGGAATTTCTGTTGGACCGCTCTAAAGTAGTGTTTCAGCTGGTGGTGGTGGCAGTTCTGCACATGCTCAGAAGGTATATCAAATGTGCCCAAAAGTTAATTAGAACAAAATCTCATCAAAGTTCGGGTGTGAGGGTACATATGGTTATAGATTACAGAGGCATAATCACTAATCCTGTCAGGAAGACCAGGGCTGGGATCATTGAATTTACCTTTTCTAAAAATGCAGTGATTCAAGCAAGAGATTTGGGAACCTGTGCTCTATCCTGCTTGTCGTCCTCAGGGCACTTCCCCAGAGAATGCGCTGTCAGGAGTCAGGAGCTTTGTGAAATTCCACAGGTGAGGAATTTTGTAAATTCTGCTGGGAAGCAGAATGAGCAACCATGGTTTCTTACATGTGCTACTTTCTCTCAGAAAACAAAACAAAATGTAATCCCTAGAGCAAACATTTTCAAAACATCGTCTGGGGACCTTTGCCTCTGCAAAGTTAGAATTGTTTTCATAATGATACTAAGATGTTATTTGCCTTTTCACTCTTTATTTTCTCATTAGTGTACAGTGGAATTTTCTGAAGGCTACATGGTATGCAACATCACAA